TTTTCATCGCCAGTAAAAATCCGATGCAAAACCGATACTGACGGCTCTTTCGTGTCTTTGAAGCAGAATTTCACAAGTGTTTTTTCGGTTTTCCATCTGTATTTCATTCAATTTATGTGGCACCCATTTTCCACACTTTTGGATCTTTCCCATAGCTTTTAAACGGTCAAAAATTGTTTGTTGTGCAACATTTAACATTTCTGCCATTTGCTTTTGACCCAAAGTGTCATCTCCATCCAATATCGTTTGCATTATCCAATATCGACATTTTTAACACGATGAAAAAATATGATGTTGTCTGTTCAATGACTTGATGTATACTAAATATATTTCACACATGTCATAGCAAACAAACAAAAAAAATAAAGGCTCGTTCACAACAAATGTTCCCTGTCGGAACATATATGTTCCTTACCGGTGGTGGGTGGAAACAATATATAATTGATGAGGCATTGATTGTAAGTCAATAAATGATTTTATTTAAAATTTTTTTGTCTTTTATACAAAATAAAATGCAACCAGACTTAATTTTATAGTGCAAGATATACAACAATTACTTAAATTAATTTATTATTTAATTCGCACAAACAGTAGAGATTTGGATTCATAAAATTTTTATTAACTTCCAAAATTTAAAACAATGGTTAAGAAAACAAATGGCAATAGAGTTCGAATAACATGACTAATCCAATTTTATTTTGACATCCTTTAATGATTATTCAGATAGTATAAAAAAAAATTTAAATTGATTGCAGAACGTATATAAATCATAACTCCTTTTTGTCTATCACTGACTTTTTAATTAACTAATATTTTTTCTAAGTTTATATTTTTGTATATAATTAACAACTGAATTAATATGTTTTGACTTACCATAGTTAAGTTTGTTTTCTCTAAAAGTTTTGAAGTGCTTTTTCTCACTTATATTTTTCGGAATAAGATCACTTGCTGAATAGTTACATAGAATAATATTATGTCTCTGGCTTGATTGGTTATTTATTTGAAACTCCAATGAATCTCTCTCACATTTATCTGCTACTATTCCATAACTTCGAACAATATCTAAATCGTTAACTAATGTATTTTGTGTATACACGTTTTCATTTACTGGCGGCATTAAATTATTGACAGTATGTTTGAATTTGAGGTCATTAACTTCACTTATTGTTTTCTTACAGACTGAGGAATTGTTCTTTATTTTACATGATTGATTTTTTGACACTATAGTATACAATAAAATAAGTACAACAATAACTATAAGTCCAATAACTGTGATTAAGCTTGTTGTTTGATCAATAATTATGGTTTTGAATTTCGAAATTGAATTGATATGTAATAAGTCAATACAATTGGATCCATTATTAAAAATCGAGCAAATGCATTGATAACTTCCGAGCTTATTTATACATATTGTTCCCTTTTCACAAGGATTATTGTCACATTCATTAATATCTACTTCACATGTAGTACCCGTATAACCGGGACAAATGCAATGGAATGACATTTCGTCTTCTATACAAAGCCCTCCATTTTTACATGGATTCGGACTACAAAATTTTCCATACTCACAATGTCTTCCAGACAGTTTTGATGGACATATACATGAATAGTTTCCCAAATGCACATACTGACAGAGACCACCATTCAGGCAAGGCATTGAAATGCAAGGATTTAAGTCAAATTCACACGCTCTTCCAGAATATCGTGGAGGACATTTACATTGAAAGTTAGTTTTTTTCAATTTCAAACATTGCCCTCCATTTTGGCAAGGTTGTGCTCCACATTTTTCATGGCGAGTCAATATGTTGGTAATATTGCATGTAAAATCTATGTTGTTGAATCTTTTCAAGGAAACAATTGAATTACTTTCATATCTGTGAAGTGGTAGCAATATAAAAGAAAATTTCAAATCGGCTAAGCATCCCCAAAATCCTCTTCGAATTTCATCATAACCAATCATTATAGAACGTCTTACCTCCGCTCCGAAAAAAATGTCATTGTTATGAGTGTTATACATCACTTTTATCCCGGGTGCTTGTCCTTCAGATGAGTACTTTTCATCAACAATCAGCGTTGCACTATTTATATTTCTATCTAACATAATTGTATGCCAATTTCCGTCTGAAATGTTTACAGTTTTAACGCTTACAATCGCTTCTCCAGTCCCTAAATCAAATCTATATTGTACTGTTCCTTGAAAAATTTCAAGTATATTATAATCAATTTTTCCACTTACATATAGTAAGGTAGCGGTAGTTTGTATAGTAATAACACGAAAGCTGAAATGAAATTGATTTGTTGAAGAAAGTTTAGCAAAACCGTTATTAATTTTGTAATGTGCGTAACTATTTCCTTTAAACGACATAACCACATCGGATTCGCAATATTCACCAGTTAATCCCTTTGGACAAATACATTCGAAACCCTTCAAAGTTTTTGTTTGAACACAAAATTTCTGTGATGTGCATGGATTAGAAGCACAAACGTCTACAATTGTTTCACAATTGTTTCCATTGAAACCTTGTTTGCAAATGCACTTTACTGTTTCTTCATAACGCGGAACAACGAAGCTAACAATATCTAAATCGTATACAGTAAAATTTCTTTTATGTAATTTGATGCTATTAGCACAAATTCCATTAGAGCATATTTCTTTCGAGCAATAAGGTTCCCTTAATTCTTCTATCAAAAGTTTTGTATCGTGTTCTATTTCTTCGATCTGATTTGTAATAGTTGTGTACATATATTCTGAGGTATAATTTTTATATATATTTTGTTGATTTTGAATTCCGAATACAACATTCAAAGTAGTAAGTGAAATTCCTTTTTTTAAGTAAGCTCTATTTCTTATTCGGTTACTTGTCCCATTTGAAAGTGAAATAATGACTACATTTTTTGTAGGGCATCCCATTACTGCAGAAATTGAACGAACAAAACTTTTTTGGTGTATTAATAAAAAGTCTTTTGCGGACACCTTTTTCAATCTTATTGTAAGTGATTTTGCTATTAACTCAGAATTTATCAACTGTACATTTATTTTCACAATAGAATTACTTTGAAATTTTCCATCCGAAACTGTAACACTTACGTTATATACACCAACATCAAGAATGCCCACAGCGTAAAGTAAGCCATTTTTTCCATTAATATAAAATAATTTTTGCATTCCGGTAACATCATCAGTTTGTGAGATATTAAAATATAATGTATCATGTTTATCTTGGTCTGTAACATGTAGCTGACCTAAATAACCTCCAATAAATTCATCCTCAAAAGAGTTTACAGTAATTTCTAATGGTGTAATTAATGGAGGATGTTGACTTTCTTCTGCTACTTGAATTCTAACCCAAGTATCTGAATGTAGAGATGGAGTACCATTATCAAATACTCGAATTTGTAAATTGTAAAGATCGCATAGTTCACGATTCAATTTGGATACAATTTTCAGAGACCCATTCGGCGTTATGGAAAACTGACCATTATTATTTCCTCTATGTATATAGAAGATAAAAGGATATGTGTTTGGATATTCATCAGAGTCGAATATATTGAACTTCAATATAAAATTACTCATGCTATTACTTTCTTGCACAACAAGGCTATAATTTGATGATGAGAACAGTGGTGCGTTATCATTTACGTCCATAATTTCTACATAAACATTTGCATAAGTACATAACTCTGGAGTTCCGCTATCACAAGCACTAACGTTCAGTGTAAAGGAAGCAGTTGACTCCCTATCTAGATTCTTTTTTGTAAAGATATTGCCATGAAGCATATCAATGTCGAATTCCTCAAAGTTGTTAATATTTTCAATGCTGTATTTTATAACACCATTTTGTTTGGAGTCTTTGTCATTTGCGTCAAGTTTCAGAATTGATTTACCAACCGTTATATTTTCTTGCACTTTGATGCAGTAGAATTTTTGAGAAAAACTTGGTGCATTATCATTTACATCTAAAACACGTATTTTAAATAGTGATATACTAGAAAAGGTGGGATTTTCTTCATCGACAACTTGAATTGTAAGAAAATAAGAATTCAGTTGTTCATAGTCTAAACTGTCGTTAACATATATAACCCCATTTGTTGAGTTTATACGAAAATGTTTTTGATCGTTTCCAGTTATGATATAATACATCATTTTATTGGTGACT